CTGGAGTGGCCTTACATTGTGTTTTGTGTTTCTGTTTTATTCTTTTTTTTTTTTTTTTTTTGAGGTTTTCCATATCATGGGTCACTTCCTCTTTAATATTATCTATTTTCATCTTTAATTCATTTATTTCTCTATTTATCATGTTCTCTCTTTCACTTTGATGTTTATTTAGTACTCCTATGAGTTCATTTATTTGTTTTTGTGTCTTCTTGTAGTCTTTATTTTTGGTACCTTGCTGTTTCTTGAGTGCCTCTTATATGTTTTTGTTAACCATGTCTAGTAACATCTCCATGAAATTCTCAGGGATTACTTCCAGGAAATTCTTTGATCATGTTTTTATGGACATTGTTGGGTTCCTTGATGTCATTTATCTTTGTTTTGTTGGAGTCTGGACCTGTGTATATGTTTTCTTCATTTCCTTCTGAATCCTGTATTAAATTATTTTGAGGAAAGAATAGTTTCCATCCCTTTTTCTTCTTCCCATTGCTCCACTTGGTACTGTACAACTACATTCTTAATAGGCTAGTTGGTGGTTTCAGTCACCTGTTTTCTTTCCCTTGATTTAATTTTTGTTTTGTGGCTGCCTTCAGTTTTTAGCTAAGTTGGTGTGTTATTTCTGTCGCTGGTCTGGGTGTAATTTAGTATTAATTAATTCACAGGTTTATATACCTGACCAGTAGTTTATGTGTTATATTGAAGACCCCTTGGTGGTAATATCTATAAGCAGTGGGAGTTGCGGGGGGGGGGGGACTTTAACGTTTGTAACGCTAGCTATAGAAATTTGAGGAGTTGGATAGGGTCACACTAAAGGGGAATATGGGAAGTGGGGTTGGTGAGTGAGGAAAGCAGTGTGGGAGCTGATCTTTTTGTGGTTCTCATGTGTGTTTGTGTATATTTGTGTTGTCATAGAAGAGGGTGTTTGTGTTAGGGATTGCAAAGGTTTGGGGTTCGTAAAGTTGGTATAGTAGTTTGGTCAGTGAGTGATGAGTGTGAAGGAGGGAGGAGTAGTCTGGTGACAGGTTGGGAGAGAATGGGAGGAGAAGGTAAGGGCTGGGGGAAGAGAGTGGGTGAGTGGGGCAGAATGAGTTTTAGCACAGGAGAAGGATGGAGAGTGAAGGGAGTGAGAGTAGGGATGAGAGGATGATGATGGTAAAGTTGATAGTATAGAAAGAAAAAAAAAGATAATAGGAATAAAAATAAAAATAGAAAACCCACAATAACAAAACTAACAACAACAACAAAACCCAAAGAAATCAATGTGGAGAAATCAACAAACAAACAAAAACCAAAAACCAAACAAACAAACAAAACTCCAGGTTCAGGTACAATAGAATTTCAGTTTTAGTTTAAGTTCTGCATTTCCTCCTCCAGCATCCAGTCCTGATGTTGGCATATAAGCATAAGCTCTGTCCTGGTCTCGCCAGGTGATTGGCTTGTGAGTAGTGTTTTGTTCTTCTGTCTTTCATATGCAGTTGCTTGGTCAACTCCTTCCTCAGTGAGGTGTAGCAGTTTAAGTTTGCATGCTGTCCTCAAGTTCAGGAGATCAGCACTGTAATCCACTAGTTGTCCTGCTTTGGAGGTGGCTTTTCACTGCACTTGTTTACTGGGATTTCCTTGCTGGGGTCTTATTTCTTTGTCCTGCACCCTTTCTGTGGGGCCGAGTCAGTGTTCTGTCAACCCCTCCCCCCACTATCAGTGGGTTATGATGGTTTGCTGTTTGTTTTTTAATTTTGCGGGCAGTTTGGCTTTGGGTGCTGCTCACTGGCTCAGAAGATGAGTTTTGTGATCCACTACCTGCCCTGCTTCAGGGAGTGGCTTATCATCTGCCCAATGTCAGCTTTCCTGTCTTTCCAGCATTTGTTTACTGATAGTTCTGCTGAGATTAGTTTCTTGCCCCTCCCCCTTTCTCTGGTGCACTTTCAGCATCACTCCCCTTCTGCTGTGTGCTGGATTACAGTTTGCTGTATGTTGTTCAGTTTTTTGGGGGGAGGGGTGTCAGTCTGCACAGGGGACTGTGCTGGTTTATACCTGGAGTGGCTGGGAGGAAATTCTCTGTGACGGGTGCTGCTCACCAGTTTAGTCTGTCAAATGTCTCGCAGGCAGGTCTGGAGCTGGTGGTGGCAGCATCAGAAGCAACCCATGAGTTTTCTCAGTGTAGCGTGGTGTGGAGAAGCTTTCTACGGGCTAGGGGTCCAGGGTATCAAAGTTTTGATTCTCATTGGTACTTTATTCCTGGCAAGTGTGGCTCCAGTGTCTCAGCAAGGTTTTGGAGTCACACAGCTCATGCTGTCTGCCTCCACACCCTAGTTGCCATCTTGGATCATCCTTGAAACATCTTATTAGATAGAATGCACCTTAGAAAAAAGAACGATAGCTATTTACATGTACATTTTAAACTTTGTAAATGATTTTGCAACATTTAGCTATGAGGCACTAACAGTGTTAGAACGATTTAAAAGAATTTTTACTTCATTTAAACTTAGTTTCGTTTTTTTTTAATGTTATCAGAAAAATACCTTAGGGGTTTGGCAGGATGTAAAGAATAGCAAATAATTTCAAATGGGCTACACGGAGAACTAATCATTTTATTTTTGGTTAGTAGGATCAAAGCATCTCCCAGTACATAAGGCTATAACTAAGTGAATATGTTGGCTTTCCCTATGCTGGTTAGTGGAAAGAGAGAGAGGGAAGGGAAGGGAAAAATCCATTCCCCCTCTTCCCCTACATGAGGGCTCCTTAATCGAATTCCCTATGCTATCTGGTGGAGAATCAGAGAGGAAAAAAAGGAAAGGAGGAAAGTTGCCCTTTTGGAGAGAGAAAAATGAGAACTTTCAGTTGTGGAGTATACCTTTGTATCTTGAAGGCCTCAATATAGGTCCCTCTGACCTGTTTCCGTCAGATGTCACTGAACCAAGTGACATCTTTTCAGTCATCTGTTATCCTAAGGGCTCATCTCTTCCACCCTTGCATGAGGGTTCCTAGATGGGATGCTGATCCTGAATGATGACCCAATTATTAAAACATCAGGACTATTATGCACTGGGCATAGAGGCTGATACCAAAACAACATGTAAAATGAAAAGCTAAGAATATGTAGGAAGACAATCTGTTGAATGTTAAAAGGAAAACATCTTAATATGAACTATTGTAACCAGTACAAAATTAGCTATCAAATCTAAATAACATAAGGGAGGGGGCAGGGGGGAGGGGGGAGAAATGACCCAAACATTGTATGCATATATGAATAAAAGAAAAAAAAACAAAAAAATAACAAGTTTATTATAAAAAAAATTAATATTCTGGTTAATAAATCAGTCTCCTAAAAAAAAAATCTAAATAACATCAAGGTAAGCTTGTCTGATACAAACCCATCACTCATGATTAGTTTTCATATCAAGTCATGAGGTTTCAGTCAGCCTGTAAACTAAGAAAAATGGAGGAACATCTATATTTTAAATAATAAACCAATTAAGATGCATATCTCAAATGATTAGATACAGGACCAGAGATAAGGGGGTAAGCATAAAATTAGGAGACCCAATGACTGAAAGCCATGACTTGGATGTTAAGAAATTATATCCTAGACTGATGTTAACTAACAGCATGGCTTGGGACACACAGCAGGGTTATTGTTGAACTGCATGTTGTCTCTGGAGCCCAAAAATAACAGGTTCAGTCATTGGTAGTTAATGATGTGTGTGTTTTAGTATTTGGGGATTAATTACCTTTTTTGTAGACTCTTAAAAGCTTAAGGTCTTATCATTCCATCTGGAGGGTGAGCTTTTGTTTGGTTTTGGTAAAATTTTGTATCAGGCTATAGCAACAAAAGATCTTGATAGTTATTTTGATAAAACAGCAACCCATTTTTAAATACACATTAGTACTTTACATTTTGATCTTAAGAAACTTTTAGGCAAAGTTTTAAATTATAAGCCTATAAGCTTTAAAATCTTAATTTGTATCTTGAAATAACCTTTGTAAAAACCCAAATTTAGATAACACTAGGTAAATAAAACTCTTAGTAATCTTATACCTTAAAGACTTACAGAGAAAATTAAATTAAACCATCTTTTTTATAATAGTAATCTATAAGAACACATTGGTTAATAAACCTCATTATAAAAGAATTAATACTTTCATAATAGAGTGAAACAGATTGAGATTATTATCCATATATTTGCTTTAGTCCTAAAGCAGAGAATAGTTGGGGTTAGAACTCTGGACAACTTTTGAGACTGTTGTACACATTAGCTTTATAAAAGTAGTTTAGGACCCATCCTAAACACATCCACACTCACATGCACAGACACACATATGTTATGACCTAAGCATACCAAAGAATATAAGTGAGCATAATGAGCTGAAAAAAGTAAAAATTAAGTGGCCACAGTTGGAAGGAGACAAAGACATGTACAGAAAACACACAATGGTACACAAAACAATCACATTAATTCAGATTGTACTCTTAAACCATTTCTTTGTCATTATCTTTATTTTTTTTCTGTTCTGCCTTTAAAATTTTTCATTTTCAAATCCATCATTAAGACAAAAAGTGAACAAAAATTAGGTCTGCTGCAAATTCATGATTTTTCTTCTGAGAAAAAAAATTATAGTAAAAAGAACGCCACTGGGTATACAATAAAGCACCACAACACAGTTACAAACAGGACTTCCTGGCTTCTGTGACATGTTAAAGGGACTGTTCTCCCCACTGCTCTGTGTCAATCAGGATTTCATTAAAACTATAAAATCTCCTAGGTTATACCAAGTCAGACACGGTCTGGAACACAGTGCTTAACAACAGTAATGCCAACTATCCATGCTAACGTAAAAACATTTTAGAAGGTCAAAAACAATTAAACTGGAAACCAAAACCTTATTTTCCCTAGATGAACAAACTTGAAAATCAAAGGGCCCTGCCTTGCAGTAAGAGCGAGGGTGTTTTTTCTTTCGAGCTGGAGGCAGGGACACGGTGTGGGCTGGCTCTGGAGCACCGTGGCCTAGTTGGCGTCCAGCTAGGCCATTTCCTACATGTCTGTACTCTCACTGTTGAAAAGCACGAAGTACACGGTTTTGATGGAGGAGGACATGGTGGACACGAAGTAACTGGAGATGGCCTTCAGAATCATCTGTGCCGCTGTCTGCTTCTGGAACCCGTTCCTGCCACTGCCAATGGATGGAAACGCAATGGATTTCAGCTTCTTATCATCGGCCAGAGCCAGGCAGTTTTTCACCGTGTTTTCCAGAAGTTCTTCACACTTGTCTGCACCCCAGACTGGGCTATTACAGTGGATCACAAACGTGGCAGGCAGACCATGGCCTGCACTGACTGCAGCTCCAGCTACTTCCAAGGGCCCGTTCTTTTTCCGGAGTTCCAGAACAGCTTCCACAAAATCCTTGCCACCCTTCTTTTCCAGCATGTTCCTTAGGTCATCTTTAAGGTCAATGTCAGCATTGGTAGGATTGATTATGGTCTCCACCTCAAAGCCGGCTAAATTACTGATTTCACTGTGAATAAGTTTCAGCTTCTGGCCGAGGAAGAGGCTCTTGGTGGAGAGGACTGTGAAGCCATCAGCGGGTGTGCCTTCGGTCATGCTGTCTGCACTTGCTGCCTTGCTGACTTCTCCCTGTTTCTTGGATTTCCGGGCCCCTTTCTTTCCTCCTGCTTTCTTAGACACAGGCTTCTTCTGAGATGGAGACTTGGCCTTTTTGGCTGGGGGTGGTGTGATGATGGCTTCCAACTTTCCTTTGGACCCTCGCTTCTTTGCTAGCAACTCAGGGTGGATGTTTGGTAACACACCCCCACTGGCTATGGTGACTCCTTTTAGCAGCTGATTGAGCTCTTCATCATTGGCCACAGCCAGCAGGATGTGCCCAGGCGTGACCCGTCCCTTGTTGTTGTCTCTTGCTGCGTTGCCAGCCAGCTCCAGTATCTCCGCTGTCAGGTATTCCAGACAGCAGCCATGTACACCGGTGCCCCTACTCCAATCCTGTACTTGGGATGGCCTTTCTTGATGTACCGTAGCATCTGTCCCACAGGAAAGATGACTCCTGCCTTAGCTGACCGGGAGGTCTTGGTGGATTTCTTCTTCCCACCACGGCTCGACATGCCGGTGGCCCTGGAAGCGTGTCAGTAAGCACAGCGGCTGCAGCAGCAGCAAGGTGCCCGGTCTGAGCCTTCTCGGCAGTTCGCGCCTTTTCTTTCCGCGCTCCTGCTAGCCCAATGGCCCTCCTGCCTTCTCGCTTCCCGCCTGCAGGCCCTGCGCTCGCCCCCTCCACCTGGCCTGTCATTATCTTTAGATTAGTCAATTTGATTCCTAAGTATTTTGTAATGAACAGGAAGATTCTCTCGAAGCAGTCCATAGGACATGAGAATTTGCTAGTTAAGCCATAAAATGAGACAAGACCAAAAGGCCCCATGTAGAGATAACTGCCCATTCCTGCCTTCCTTTGTCTCCTTCTGTAAACAAACTTTCCAAAGCAGACCTCCTCTGCTGCTCCTATCTAAACAACCGCAGGTCTCTAACCCAGCACTGGCCACCTATTAACAACTAACACATTCCTTATAACCTGATGCCCTGCACTGCCCTTTAAGAATCCTGTGAATTCACTGTTGGGAGCACAGAATTTTGAGTGTGAGTTCATTTGGGACCATGGATGTAAAATAAAATCTGAGTTCTCCTATTCCTAGTGTCACTTGGTTTCTCATCTGACAATATTTCCTCAACATTTCTGGAGGCCCCAGAGAGATACCAACTGTTTTGGACACTTTAGTCACCAGCCAGTGGCTGGACTGCACTGGAGTAGGCAGGAACTCCAAATCGAACAAGGTCGCATGCCACCCGATGGTATTCTGGGTCCTCCTTTGCTCTGGAGTTCCAACCCTCTGAGTAGTCTTGGCCCAACTGGACTCCAAGGAGAAGTGGACCAATTTGCCTGGCAATTTCTTCCAGACTTGGTAAGCCCCTTGGGGAAAGTCAGCCCTCAGTCAGGTCCCATCTCACTGCATGGAAGGGGCGTCCAATTAACTCTTGGTAACCTCTGAGATGAGTTCTCCAGGACAGGGATTTCTCCAAAAGGGAGGAAGGAAAACTGTAATGACTTCAGTGTGAATGTCTGTGTAAATGAGAGGCGTGATTTGTCCTTGCTTCAGACTCAAGTTTGTGGCTCCATGGATGAAAAGCTATGGAGTCTGAGTGGGTCTGTCCTGTGGTTCTGTGGTGATTCTCATATGGCTTAGGGCAGCATTGGGGAAACCTGATCTAGAGTCACAAGGCTGACCTCACCATTGATGCTAAGAGGCACCCAAGTTCCTTCAGGATGCAGCCAAGGCAGAAATCGGATTGGTCTTTTCTCTTGAAGGGGCACCCACCCTTGTTTGTCTTTGTGCCACCAATGCAGAGGATAATACAGTTTGTGGATATAGAGGATGCCTCTAACTGCCATGGTGGAAGTGCCTAAAAACCTACAGTCCTACAGTGTATGCTTAAACATTTTAAGAAGGGATTCTCAGGAGATTATGGGATCAAAGTGTTTCCTGGAAGACTGTGCACACTGTGTGAGTTGGAGTGGCCCACTTTGGGAGTCAACTGTCCCCTTGAATGTAGCCTAGATTTTCCCACTGTCAGGCCATTTATCAGATCCTAAGAGGAACCCCTGGACACACTGACCAGTTCCCCTATATCAATTCCTGGCTTCAGGTAGCTCAGATCATGCCCCCTTGGGTCTGATTCTGGGCCAACAAAAAGGGACAGAGCAGAGTTTTCATGGCCCAGGTAATGAAGATCAGAAGCCAACCAAGCCTGTTCTGCAAGGGGATCCAGAAGAACCACCTGTGCCCCCACCATACAACCCATTCCTCCCCAACCATCAGAGCAGCCAGTGCCACCTCTCCCAGACAGTCTGCCACCTTTAGTGAGTCCCCCTCAGCCCCATCAACAGCCTCCCAGCCCCAGATACATCACACACCCATCCAGGGCTTGGAGTACAAGTCCACAGCCCCTGAGCCACCATCTTCACTCATTCCAGGCACCAGCCCCTCAGGCTTGGGCTCTGCAGATGCCTCTCCACAAGATACAAGGGCCCCAGCAGACTGGTGCTGATGGCACAGTCCAGCTCAGATGATCTATCCTCTATTACCAGCCAAACCCTTAAATTGGAGGACGCACATACCACCATATTCAGAAAAACCCCAGGCCATGGTCAACCTCCTAGAATCCATATTTCAGACCCATCAACCCACTTGAGATGACTGCCAACAAATTCTCCTGACATTTTTCAACACAGAAGAGTGACAGTGAATTATGATGGAAACTCTCAGCTGGCTCCAAGGGCAGGCCTCAGCACCCTAGATACAGAAGCTTGGGCAAGAAAGGTGGCCCCTGATGTTCAGCCTACCTGGGACTTTAGAACAGCAGAAGGATGAGGAGTCCTCATGCAATATCGCACAGACCTCCTACACGGGCTCAGGGCTGGAGCTAAGAAACCTACCAACATGTCCCGAACTGTGGCAGTAATCCAGAAACCAGAGGAAACACCAACTGATTTTTATGAGAGACTGTGAGGCCTTCTGGGTGTACACCCCTTCAATCCAGAAGCACCAGAAAACTAGTGAATGGTAAATATAGCATTTGTGGCCCAGTCATATGCTGACATTCACTGGAAACTTCAGAAACTTGAAGGCTTTGCTGGAATGAATGCCACCCAGCTGTTAGAAGTGCCAAGTAAAATCTTTGTAAACTGGGAACATGAGGAAAAATGATAAGCCAATAAAATAATGAAAGCCAAGTTGTCCTTATTGGCTACAGCACTGGGGAAGCTGGCCCTGACCAAGAAGTCAGTTCTGCCACAGAAGAGGAGACCCAGTGGAAGAGCCCCACTCCAATGAGACCAATGTGCCTATTGCTAAGAGATTGGCCACTGGAAGAATGAATGCCCCAGCCACAAGGGACCAGCATCAGAACCTAACAAAATTGCTCCAAGAAAGAAGACAGGATGGCCACCCAAACCCGGGGCTGAAGACCTCATTGGCCTAGCAGGAATTGAGTCAGACTAGGGAAGACCGGGCTCCTTACTACTACAGCCACAAGAGCCCATGGTCAAAAGGAAAGTGGGGGGCCAAGCATTTCATGGCCACTAAACCTATGGCCTTGCTCACTGAGAACAGGGCCACAATAGTCGGAGTTACCAGCACCCAAACTGCCTGACAGTTCTGCTGACCCTGAACATACCAACTAGGAGGGCACAAGGTGACTCATGAATTTCTGTACTTACCAGAATGCCCAATTCCTCTTCTGGGGAGGGACTTACTAACAAAACTTGGAGCCGAAATCACTTTCACCCAGGAAGGGTCTCCAAGCCTTCCAGTGAAAGGACCAAATGCCCTCATCATGGCAGTGACTATGCCTACAGAAGATGAATGGCAACTCTGTAACCAGGAAAAGGGAGACATGATGAAGCCCATCTGCCTGCTGGAGGAGTTTCCTGATGACTGGGCTGAAAAAAGGCCTCCAAGCCTGGCTCACAACCATGTACCCATAATGGTAGATGTCAAACCTGGGGCTCTCCCTGTTAGACAGAGGCAATATTTAGTGCCATAGGAAGCATACCTGGGAATTCAGGCCTACCTACAGTGGCTGAAGGATATAGGGATATTGATTGAATGATAATCACCATGGAACACTCCACTGTTACCTGTCAAGAAGGCAGGAGGAAATGATTACCAGCCTGTCCACGACCTGCAGGCAGTCAACAATGCTGTTATCATGCTGCACCCAGTAGTTCCTAACCCCTACACTCACCTGAGCCTTCTACCACCACAAGCAAGCTGGTACACCTACCTGGACTAAAGGATGCTTTTTTTCTGCCTCTGCCTGGCCCTGGTTAGCCAGCCTCTTCTTGACTTTGAATGGGAAGACCGCCATACTGGAAGAAAAGCACAAATGGCCTGGACAAGACTTACTCAGGGATTCAAAAGCTCACCTACCTTGTTCAGGGGAAGCCCTAGTGGCAGATTTGTCAGCTTTTCTGGAAGAAAATCCAAACTGTACTTTGCTCCAATACATGGATGATCTGCTTCTGGCAAGCCACCACCGGGAGAAATGCTGGGAGGGGACAAATGCATTGCTAGCCTGACTCTCTGAGGCAGGCTACACAGTTTCTTGGTAACAGGCCCAAGTTTGCCAGCAAGAGGTCCAATATCTTGGATTCGTCATCTCAGAAGGACAACACGCCCTGGGTCCACAGAGGAAACAGGACATCTGCTCCATCCTACAGCCAAAAACCAAAAGGGAGGTCCAAGAATTCTTGGGAACAGCAGGATTCTGTTGCATCTGGATACCCAGATATTTAAACCTGGCCAAACCACTGTAGGAGGTGACAGCAGGCTCTGGAAAGGACCCTCTAAACTGGGGACCTGACCAAGAAAAAGCTTTGGAAATAAAAAGACTGTTAGTGCCCCTGCATTAGGGTTGCCAGATGTAAAATGACCTTTCAATCTCTTCGTTTGTGAGAAAAATCACACAGCTCTGGGGGTCCTCACCCATATGGTGAGTACATGGCAGTGGCCAGTGGCTTACCTATCAAAGTGCTTGGACCCAGTGGCCTCATGGTGGCCTCCATGTCTCTGGGCCCTGGTGGCTACAGTAACCCTAATCAGGGAGGCTGACAAGCTCACCCTGGAACAGGACATTAATGTCAAAGTTTCTCATGCAGTCGTAGCTCTAATGAATGCGCAGGGTCATAAATGGCTGAAGAGCTCCAGAATGGCCCATACCAAGGACTACTATGTGAAAATCCTCAAGTCATACTTGAAACTGTACGAACTTTAAACTCTGTCACCTTCCTGCCAACAGAGGAAGGGCTTCCAGATCACAATTGCAAAGAAGTGATGCACGAAGTGTATTCTAGCAAGCCAGACCTGATGGATGTTCCCCTCTCAGATCCAGAGCTCAAACTGTTCACAGACCGAAGCAGCTTCATCCAGAATGGATGGTGAAAACCCAGATTCGCAGTCACCACTGCTAACGACATCGTACAGGCTGTGTGGTCTGCACAATGAGCTGAACTTTGGGCGTTGGTCCTGGCATTGCGATATGCAAAGGGAAAGCA